TATTCGTATAAAGAATTTTATTTAAATACATTTTATACCAAACTATAATAAGCTGAATGACAAATGAAATATTTTAAAGTAATAAATTTACCTATATAAATAAAGTGAAGAATTTTACGCACTAAGATATAAATAAAGTGAAGAATTTTACGGCGTGAGACTCGCATTTGCCCGACTTCAATTTATAATATTGTGTTAAGTGAAAAATCTGATACATTTTTAATTGTCGAAATCATAGTTTTCATGTTAATAGAGACTTAAATAATCGCATTAAATTATAAATTGAAAACAAATCTATATTTATGCATATAAATATCATTATATTCATGTAAGACGTTAATTACTATTTTTAGATTAAAAAGAAATTATTGTAGACATTTGAACAATTACATCATATATAAAAATTTCTTCAAAATATTATAAAATTTTAAGACATTCATAAATATGCACAAAATAGATAAATTATTAAATTCAAAGGTTTAAATAATCTGTATCAAACGTATCTAGCTCATTTATTAAAATGTTAGCCAAGTTTTGAAGATGTTTTGCTTTAGCTGCTGCTTTTTCTAATACTGCTAAAGTATTCGATATGCTTTTAAGTTCGACATTCATCTCAAATGTGTTATCTAATAAATGGCAGAGCCTTGCAAATGTGTTGGAGATTTCCCTAAACACAAATAATAAACAATATTATTACAGAAACGAAATTAAAAAGTAAGTATACATGTTTCACAATCCAAAAAAAATTGACAATTAGTTTAGGAAATTTAGCTTAAAATGTTTGAGAAAGAAATAGATGTGTTAAATAAATCTATTCTAATTAATATAAATCACAAAAATTGAAATTTTATTATAACTGTTTGTTTTACAATTTTAATAGCATCTAATAGCTTTGCAAAAAATATAATAAAATAATTTAAATTGAAGAAGAATTATCCCTCATACATATTTATATATTATTGTATTTGTAAAAGTGTTATAATAAATATTTGCACATACCGTTGTACTTGGTGACTGCAATTATCCACATATGATTGCAGTTTGTTGGTAGTATGGGCCATATATTGTCGTTTAAATTCATGTTCCTTTGCTTCACTATTCCATGTTAGACGTTTATAGAGATATAAAGCACCATATGTAACACCAGTAGCAATTAATCTCCAATCTGCGGTTTTTAACATCTAGAAAAAATTTATTTGTAAAATTTTATTTTTTTTTATAACCCTTTCCTTCATTATACCCATTTTCATATACACGCACGCACGTATGCTTAGAATATACTAACTGATTTAAACACTTTAAACATCTCATTTACTTTTGTTTATATAAAAAAGATTGAAAATTAGAATAAGAAAAAAAAATATTTTAACAAATGTTTATAAATAAATAATTCTTTTGGTTTTCTTACAATTTCTTGATTAATATTAACATATAGTTCTAATATATTCTTTCATTTTTTCTAAGCCTTGTGGGAATATTGTTATGAAAATGACTGCTTTAACAGCTTATAGAAAAATGATATAAAATTAGTCATTAGTGAATAAGAATTAGACGTGTTTACGTTTATAATTGACAAACAACTAATACTTAGAATTTTTCCGCTGAATCAATCAATTAGACATAATATTTGTCAAAAAATTGTAAAAAGAATCAAAGAATAATTATTTATTTAGCAAGTGTTAATAAGCATGTTAAAATAATTTTTCTTTGATAATTGTTTTAATGCGCGCATGTATATGAGGATGCGTACGCATGTATGTATTTATGTAAATGCATATGAAGAAAGGATATGAAAATAAATTATAAATGTTGTATATTTACAAAACTGGCAATAATAAGACCACCATGTGCTAAAACAGTTCTGAGTCTGGCTCATAAATTTGATCCTAAAAATATTAAATATTTTTTAATTTATCACATAACATCCTCATTAAATCATAAAATACACAATTGAAAATTACCTAAACTATTTTCTACATGTGTATAAAGTTCCTGTTTATATATATTTAAAACATGTTGTTCAGGATGAAATGGATCACTAAATTCGTCTATTAGAACGGATGTCGCCGAATTTCTTCAGTTAATGTTTTAGACATTTTTTGTTCTACACTTTCTACCATATGAATTTTATCCTTCGTTTTATGAGTTAACAGCATCAAAATTTAAAAATTTAACTTTGTGTGCTTTGTAAAATTTAACTTATCTTGAACCTCTTTTTTAACGTTTAATTGTTCTCTTCGCATTTTATGTATTCGTTTTAATATCCCATTCAAAACTTGATGTATTTCCCTGTAATAAATAAAAACGGATCGGTTAACATTTTTTGTAAATATACATAACTAATATTTCTTTCCCTCCTCTATGTGAAATTAAAAAAGAATGGAAAAAAAATTATGCCTTCCACTTTCTTACGTTACAATATGTTTGCCACGCTGAGAATGTTGTTCAAATTTAGTCTTTACTGCACTAGACTTTGAGATGCATTCTTCTAATTTTCTTTCGAAATCTTGAAATGCGAAGTATCGAGATTGATAACCTTTTGCTAGCGCACCATCTGTATACATATATTGAATAAAGTAAAGTATTTAATATAGCTAATTTACAAACGATTTTAAAATGTTAAAAAATATTGAAAATATAGTAAACTTGGAACACATTACTATAAGCAGGTTGTCCACGTTGTTCCTGCATACGAGCTTGAAGTGTTTCTTTTGCAGAAATAAAAAAAATTCGTTTTTTGGCATCTTCTAGACTGTAAACCTTTATATTCTTCGATAGAAAGTTAATAGCATCTTGTTTAAATTCTTCTGCAAACTATACCCAAAAATAAATAAATAAAATCTATTTTATACAACTCATAATACAATTGTGATGTTAAAAATATTAAATTTTACTGACATATTATTTATATAAATAGCAATACATAAATTGAATAAAATTCTATTCATAAAATAAAATATTTTCTTTATTAAATTATATATATTAGGTATTAAACTTAGTTTCTGCTACTCACGAATAAATAGCTCCAAAAGTAGTGAACTTTGACAATTATAAGTAAAATTAATTGTCTTTTGTAGATTAGACACTTATCAATAAAATTCAATGCGCAAAGATTCATTGTTGTGATAGCAGTGATATTTTTAATTGATATGTACTTTATTACTAATTTGATTTGGAAACGACATTTTCTGAAGCGTATTAATTGCTTTTTAAAACTTATAGTGAACAAGTCCCGAGATTAAAAAGAACGTGTAGAAACTGTTTAAATGATCCAAAGATGATGATTTCAGTGTGGAAAACAAAGAACGTTCAGAAAGTTTGAGGATATATGCTGAATTGCAAGCATTAGTGGATGAAAACTCAAACACTCAAAGAATTGTTAAATATATGTTACTTCTATGTTTCTAAACGTTTACACAGCCAGTAATTAATGGAAAGTGATTCTTTTGCATGATGAACGAGCAGCCATATATTACAAGAACTGTGAAAGAAACATTGTTAATAGCTCGAATGGAAAGCTCTCCCGCACCCAGTCTACTCTCCAGTCTTGGCGTCCCATCGGATTCTTTTCCGCTCAATGCAACACATGCTGGTACATTTCCAATTACGAACAAGTTGGAAATTGGGTCAATACACGGCTTGCTTCAAAAGATAGCTCGTTCTATCGTTGCAGAATCAATCCAACTTTTGTCAGAAAAATGGGAACAAGTAATAGAAATGGAAAATGTTTTGACTAAGGTATAATTCGTTATAAGGTATTAATTCATATTTTTATTGAAATAAATGCATTTTCCAAGAAAAAAAACAGCAGAAACTAAGTTTATCACACTGAAAATAGAATTTGGTTGCATTAATTGGAAATCTGCTAGAGTAAACTGGTATGTCAGTTTGAAAATCGACGAATTAGGATTCTAGTAGGATTCATCAGACAAATATAATTAATTCTTTCTTATTAAATCGGTCAGAATTTCTTGTCTATCAAATCTTGTTTTTTTTTTGTTAAATATATCAGAATTTTTTGTTGACCAAACAATTCTTTTCATGTTAAATATACTGAAATTTATTGTTGCGTAACCGAATCTCTCCTATTAATACATTTTAGCACATATTAAATTCCAGGAATTACAAGGTTCTGAATTAATTTCGGTACAGAACTAAAAACTATCAAAATATATTTTTCGATAATTTTATCTATAATCTTACCTCTAGAAAAAAAAATACTCTCTCACGCTGCGTCTTTTATGTGCTTCTGTGATGATTCTTAAACATGAGGATTGAATTTGTCCATCACGTCCATCTCACGGCAGTAAAACGTTCTTGCGGAAAACGTTCATTGAATATAACCAGTAGTTTTGTAAATCGAACTAGAAAATATTAATCAAATCGTATAGTAACCGAATAGTAAAGGTCTATCACACATTCTAGTGATGAAATATTAAATCCCCTTGTTATAATCAGATTAGAAATTCTGTTTAGTTTCGTCCAAATGGTAAAATTCATTCAACCATATACATCTTCTTATAAAAATAAGCAGCTCGATGTACGATATTACTGAAATACAAGTATATCTATAACTCGGAAATCAAATCAAATGGGATATACAGGGTGTCCCAAAATTGGCGCATTCGGAGTACATAACGTGATACTTTGTGCTAAAAGGAACAATTTTTTCCTTTAGCAAATTTTGATCTGACAAGTAATTTTGGCAGGAGAGCTGGTTAAAGTTAACGAATAAAATATATCATAATTCTGATTAATATGTATACAAATGTATACAATGTGACTTAAGAAAGATGAGATATTAATAGTAAAAATATCCATTATTCTTATTCTTCTCGAATATTATTTGAATTTGTATCAATAATATTTATACAATCATAATATTTTATTCGATATTTTGTATCAAATGTAGAAAAAAAATCGAATAGTCGATAATATCGAATATCGATATCCATCTCTAGCAAGTGCTGCTGCTGGCTGCTGGCGGCTGGCGCTGCAGAGTGGAGCTGTGCTGCAAGTAATTTAATTTTTAGTGATCGGCAGAAATGGCGTTCGTTGGTAAGGACGCTCCGCCTCTGTGGCAAAATGGACCGGTTCCTGGGGCATTTTATCACTTTCCAGGGAACGAATATGGCACCGGTGGATTCCAGAAATCACAGTACGTTTCGATATGACTATATTTTTATAATGCATAAACGCTTTTCATCCCGCTCGCGTACAACCCTTTGTACATAACCTATACATGTCTATGATGATGGTGCAAATCTCACTTGTCATCTTCTCTCTTATGCAGAGGAAATAAAACTCAAAATACTTGAGAGGTATACTAAGGCTGCTTTTCTTTTAAGAAACACAAATCAACACACAGATTAACGCACGACGAGCACACTTAAACCTTACATGGTATTGTATATCAGTCAAGCAAAGTTCTGGGATCAAGTTTGCAGATCCGTTCTGTAATAATTATTCAGTTGGACAAAACACACAGTCCGACTCTCCTTCCGAGAAGAGCCATTGAGTGTCGATTGAGTTTGAACAAAATTGCAAAGCGAACATGTGTCGATTTGCGTCAAATGTGTCGATTGTGCCTCTTGAAAGGAAAGCAGCCTAAATAAACTTACAAACACAGAGACTGTCTAACTCTCATTCTGTTATTTACAGATCCCCCATAACGACCGGCACATCTGTCATTGGTATACAATTCAAAGACGGCGTCGTAATTGCGGCGGATGTCCTGGGATCGTACGGATCGCTCGCTCGTTACAGAAATCTGGAGCGTCTTATGAAAGTTAACGAAAACGTCATTCTAGGCGCGTCCGGTGATTATGCCGATTTTCAGTGCATCAAGAGTTACGTAGAAAGAAAGATGTAAGTCCTTGCAATCAGCATGATGTCTTTTTTTTATACGTATCCTTCATATTTTTCGTCCACGAGCTGGACACGAGCCTCTCTCAACCTGTTTAGGTTAGCGAATTCTAGCCATTTTTCTTATCATGCTGACTAATGCGAGTTGATCAGGGGCTCAATTGATTTTGCTTCGGTGATATGCGCACAGGACAAGATATTCTTCATGATTTGCTACTACCTTTTCCAAGAGATGGCGATCGAATAAAATCAGATGTTTTTGTTTTGATATTGATGCAATCTGATTTGAATTCAGATCCTTGGCATGGAGAGCAGACACACAACTCTCTGTGCCATGATCGCCACACACGTCTTTAGTATTCTTAAAATATTTTATTCTTGGTTAGCTACGTATGATGAACTAATAAAAAGTTTTTGAAACGTTACTGTACGATGTAAGAGTATATTAGAATTTCCAACTGTCAAGACAGCGTCAATTTACATCGCGACGGCGATGCTTTTGTTTCAGTCTGGAGGAACAGTGCTTGGACGATGGATTTAGTTTGAAGCCGAAAGCGCTTCATTGCTGGCTAACACGCGTCTTGTACAACAGACGATCGAACTTCGATCCGTTTTGGAACAATTTTGTGATTGCTGGTTTGGAAAATGGGAAACCGTAAGTGTCATATCCCTCAATAGAAAACAGAGATAAGAATATTATATTAAATATATTTACAAATCAAGAAATAAATATTCCTCTACATATATATTTTTTTACAAAACATTTTGTAATTGCAATTAAAAATAGAAAAGGACTAAATATAATATATGATAAAAAAAAGAAGAGATCTGATCTATCTGACTTTCGAATGTCTTCAGGCCCGTCATAAATCGCAATCTATCCTTTTCAGATTTTTGGGGACTGTGGATAAGCTTGGAACAGCTTACAACGATCCCGTTATTGCGACTGGATATGGCGCTTACATGGCGACGCCTATACTGAGAAAAGCTTACGAAGAGAATAACGAAATGAGTAAGGAAGAGGCCATCCAGCTTCTATACAAAGTGATGCAAGTTCTCTTCTACAGAGACGCGCGATCTTTCCCAAAGGTAAACTATCCAAATTCGTACATGCGTAGTCAATAATTTTAATCGTATATTTATTAATAATCTATTGCGCTTTTTCAGTACCATCTTGGCATTGTTACGAAGGAAAAAGGTATCGAAATACAAGGACCGCTAACCTTAGACAGTTATTGGGGACCTGCAATCCTGTAAAACTGTAATATTTTCGTATTCTTTTAAAATAAGTTATAATAAAAGAGTTTACGGTGAAAAAAAATCCATTCTCTTGGCTAAATTCGAAGAAATTTTTATCAATTATACATCTATTTGCATTATATGTATAAAAGAATAAGAAAATATTAATATTGATAATCATATTAATAATTTTCGTTGTAACAACAAACTTTTCCTAATTTTTATTTTTACACGTAAAAACACGAGATAAAATACCTGCAAAACGTACATGCAAATTAATTTATATATGTGTACTAGAAATAATATATTTAATAGATACTTTCTCTTATAAATAATAATGATACCGATTATATAGACTAAAGCGTTAGTATTTCGCATCCAGTATCTGTTATTAAAATTGTGTGTTCGACTTGAGCTGTTCTGGAATTGTCGACGGTACAAGCTGTCCATCCATCCTCCAGAATTTCGATCTGCGTCGTTCCTTGACTCAAAGCCGGCTCGATAGTGAACGTCATACCTGCTTCCATTCTCTCAAGATAATCATTTGCTGCAAAACAGAAACAAAAACATCAGTACATCAAGTATATGTGAACGATTTGGCATATCTACAATAATTTATTCTGAGATTGAAGAATATTTTCTATGGAAATTATTTTCTGTAAGATTTTGAACGAATCAGACAATTTCTGCTGATCGTCTATTAACGTTAACGTGCATTAATCTTACAATTAGTGAAATATTTTTACCAAAGTGATAAATGTCCGGAGCACCGTGAAAGTAAGTCCCAATACCATGACCTAATAGTCCGGGTATTACATTCAAATTGTGTTTATCTGCTGTCTCTTCTATCACATTACCTGGAGAGTAATAGAACCAGATTTTACAGAATGTTGTATGAAATAAATAACGCATTATGTAGGCATATATTGAGATTTTTAATCATCTACATATTATTACCAATATTGCAAAAACGTTCGTTTGGTTTGCATATTTCAATAGCTGACTTTAAGCACAATTCCGTGACCGTTATCAATCGTTTGCCTTCTGAATCCACTTCACCCACTTGAAACATGGCTGAGCAATCGCCATGATAACCATTAAGATACACCTACTTAAGCAAAAAAACATTTAATTTTTTTTTGTTATAACTTGTAACATTTTTTTTCTTCGAAACTGTTATAGTAGAGAAAGACGACTTTCTCATAAAAGATAAAACTACTCACTGTTATGTCGACATTGAGTATATCACCTTCCTGCAAAGGCCTATTGTCTGGAATGCCATGGCAAGCGATATTGTTAACACTGGTACATATAGACTTGGGAAAGCCACGGTAGTTGAGCGGACTGGGATAAGCTCCGTTACCAATGATCATATCGTGTACTTGTTGGTCGAGAAAATCGGTTGTAACGCCTGGCTAGAACATACATCAATTTTGTCTTACATGCTTATGATGTGTGGATGTATATCTGAAAGCTATTAATAATCCCTGGGGATTACATTCCAGAAAGCTGACAAAAGGACAAAAATATATACATATACAAGTAGACGTTACTTTCAAAATACAATTTCTCGATTTTGATTTGCAATTGATTGCTACATGTAACAATCTTTACGCACATTTTAAGTGCATAGTGAACGATACATTTTTATATGAGCAACTCTTCTTTTTTCAATTTGTCAAACTTTTGCAGCCAAAGTTTGTTTATACCTTTCAGATGTTCTTTGTACATACAGAGCTCCAGATTCATTACATCTCTCATCTACAAATTCGTTTGTGGCTTTAAAAGCTGATAATCGAGGTAACATGAATCTGAACTCTTACACAGTACATGAGAATAGTTCACCTTGATTAGTGCGCCAACTTGACGCAGAATGCGACTAGCAAGTTTACAGCTATGCCTCATACATTCTATTTGATATTCGTCTTTGATCTCAGGCGTCTCCGGTCCATTTTTGGGTATCATAGACTGACTGTAGGACGGCTGGGGTATGTACGCGGGTACAGTAACTTTTTCAGAAACCAGCCACGGCTGGACTATGGCATACCTTCCAAAAGAATTGTCATTCTGGGTATCAACAAATCTGAGTGTTTTCACATCTCCAGCCTAAAAGAGACACGAGTTTCTTAAATATAATTAAAATAATAATCTTCCACTTCGATATCAATGTCTCTTACATTAATCCGGTCTAATGAATAATTTAGTATAACAAAATGTATGTTTAATCACTTTAATCTGTAGGTAAAAAAAAAAGGACATACCCTTGACATAGTCTTGAAGAAGTTCAGAAGGTACGCCTTGGAGGACTGTGCCATTCGAATTAAGCCTCTAGTCGAGCTCATGTTACCGATATCTCGTTTATCTCGTTTTCACCAGTCAAATCAAGTCAAATCAATGCGACATGCGGACGTGAATGATGTGATCTCTCCCTTCTGTCTCCTTTCTGTTTGGCACCAATAATAATAATATTAATAATACCGAATCACGCATGTGCCGCATGTGCGCGTTGATAAATAAACGCTGAAGAAAACTAACCTGAGTAACCTGCTGAGACAATATTGAGAAATCGAGGATTAATTGAGCAATAGTGAAAGAAAATCCAAACGATATTTAGTCACATGATTAAGAAAATAGGAAAGATATTATAATATTGAGAAGAAATAGAACTAAAAGTTAAAAGCGGATGTATACAACGAAAGGTGCTGCGTAACCTCGTGAAGAGGTTAAAGGCAAATCCCCCAACCAACCAGTACCGGACTACCGGTGGAGGCGGTGGAACACACTAAAAACCTCCTCTGAGAAATCGAAGAATAAACAAATAAATCTCCACCCAGACGAGAAGTTTATTTCTGCCAAATTTTTTTGTTGATTTTATGCAAAAACGCACGGAATAAGCCTAATTTTATCCAAATCGGAGGTGAGGAAGGCTAAATTATTATAAATAATTACCGAGAAGAGAAATAAGAGGAAATATGATGCAAACGCAAGGAGCTATGGAGATATTTCTTAACGCCTCAAAAACTGCCTTGGTAATATAATTTTTGTTATGCAGTTTCAGAATACTATTATTTTACATTCCATCCATTTTATCTGTTAGCATTTTATTGCAGTCCCGGTTGTCCTTCTACCGAACGATTCGTGTCGTCCTGGGGAATCCGACGTGCGACTTGGATTCCGCCGTATGCGCTCTGGTCCAAGGATTGTTGGAGTACAGTGACGTCGAGAAGCGCGGCCTCGCCGACGTCGCCGTAATACCAGTCATGAATATCCCAGAGAAAGAGTTTCGCATCAAGACGGAAGTGGTTTACAGCCTGAAGTCCCACGACATCCCGCTGAGCTTGCTGACATTCAGGTAACTCGTCCTCTCGGTCTTCTGGAAAGCAGACAGTGAGCTTCGTGCTATTTCGATTATACTCCCGACAGAGATCAGCTCGATTTGCAAAATGTGCAGAACGACGCCGACAAGAAGCTGGAGCTGATTCTGGTCGACCATCATACTCTCGCGAGCGAGGATGTCGCGTTGAAACCCTCAGTCGTGACGATTGTCGATCATCGGCCGCTGGATCCAGCCTGGTCGTGGCCTGATGTGCTGTTGAATGTAGAAATCGTTGGAAGCTGTGCCACTCTTGTCGCACGCAATGGCCTGCAGAAGAATCCAGATATGCTGGACAGACAACTCTCAAGCCTCTTGCGAGGTAAGAATACTATTATTCTTAGATCATTTGAATAATAAATTCTTATTATACAGGATGGCCTCGAATGTTTTGACCAGACTCTGAGATTTTCTATGGAAATTTAATTCTGAACAAAAAGTTTCCTATAAATATGGCTACAATATCATGGAAAGTATACGTTTTTTATAAAAAATCTGAAAACAAGTTTTAAAAAATGTATCTTTCAAATGGAAGCAAAATTAAGTGTGATATGTTTCATAGGTTTTGAAATAACAATTTGAAATGTGTTTTAAAGGAGAATTTTTCAACCCATATTTATAGGAAACTTTTTGTTCAGAATTAAATTTTCTACAAAATCTCAAAATTTGACCAACATTCGGTGCCACCCTATATAATAAGGATCTATTATTCAAATAGTCTAAGAATAGTAATATTGTATATAATAAAGACACAAGACCATTTTTATTATACAACATCCAATATTTTCAGGTCCAATACTGATCGACACTTATAATATGTCGGCTGAAGCTGGTCGAACAACTGCTACTGATGTCAATGTACTAAATGCTCTCGAGCAACTAGGTGGACTTACGTCCGACAGAACTGAGACATTTCAGAAGATTATGCATGCGAAAGCAGACGTCAGTGAATTAACTCTTGAAGAGCTGATGATTAAGGATCTAAAAGTGACGAGTGGGATACCTCTCGTCGGATTTTCCCTTTTAGCAGAAGTGCGTTATTTGGAATTTTTTAAATTTATTAATAGTGTGATTTTTTTAAAATTAATTGAAAATATTTATTTTCAGAATTTTCTCGCGCGAGAAAATGCGAAGGAGGTCGTGGAAAAGTTTGCTAATGAAAGAAATTGCAATGTCGTGGTTCTCATCGGGCAGAATGTGAGCGAGGAACGTGTATCCAGAGACATCGCAATCTTTTCAAAATTACCAATGTACTTTTATAATAATACTTTTCAACATAATCAATTGGCGAACGATGTGAGTTTATTTAATGCAATTTTGTTATAAAATTTATCTCAATATCTCAGTACACACTTTTTTTGCACATCTTTGTTTGCAGATAATTCAAGCGTTGACTGAATCCACCGAGCCATCTCTAAATCTAGAATTAATCAAAGAAATTCGAGAAGAGAAATATAGCCTCCGTTTGTATAAACAAGGAAACGTGACGGTAACACGTAAACAGATATTACCGATTGTACAGAAAACGGTATTATTGCATAGAAATGAAAAAGCATAGAACTAATACGTAGGATGTAAAATAAAATAAAAAATATTGTGGAGGTACAAAGTTCGTTAACAAAAAAATATTAGTCCAGGACACCTGTTATCGCACAATATTTCCTACTCCTTTATATGTCGTATTAAATTAAATAGCGCGTTTTGTTTTAAAAAATCTTTGGAGTTAATGGAAAGCTTTTGTCGATGCTCGTATTGTGGAAAAATATCTCGATTATCGGGAATTTTATGATTTTGCGCAGTGAAACGCCGCCGCTATCGCCATTGGCTGGTCGGAACGTCACACCCCTCGGCGTTATCGCGTATCATCCCCGAAAGGATCCTTTCCTCCCGCGATATCTCCCGCTGGAGAGAGCGATGCCGCGACTATCGGTCACCCCTCGCTCGCGCGAACGTCGCGGAGGTGCGCGGGATCGGGACGCACCGTGAAAACACCGTGCAGCGCAATCGTTTCTTTTTTTGGCATCTCGTGCGAGACAGAGAGACGCGAATAAGGGATGCGAGCCGAGCGGAGCAGTTAAAGCGCGAAAACTCGACTACAGTGAAAGAGGCTTATTATTAACGCGACGCACACGTGTGTTCCATTTAAAATTATGAGACTGGCCTCGGTGCGTCGGCGGCCGCATCTCCCGAACGGTAAGGACATCCGGCAGAGATTCCGGCTGAAGATCGGAGCGGCGGCTCGACGCTCGCCAGCCTGACGATCCTCCCCCGAGAGAACGAGATCGCGGGCCGCGTTCGGCGAGAGAGATAAAGAAGGGGTGGCGGAGGAGGAGGAGGGGGGGAGAAAAAAGAAAAGAAACGAATTAACGAAATAATACGCGCGGACAGAGAATTTCGCCCACCCGCGAAATAACGCGCATATTGATCGTTCCATACTTGTTGCGCAGAGACAACAGCCGGGCCAAGCTACGCCGAGTATCAACATCCCCACCCTGTGCGAGAGCGAAAAGCTGCATCGCATCTCGCGGCCGCCGACGTTTCGTGAAATCGTATTTTTCCTTCCACGGTGCGTTACGAACGCCGTGCACCGGTGGTCCTCCCTGCGTGGGAAAACGGGGATGAGGGTGTCCCTCGGGCTGTATTATGATTTGTAAATGTGCTCGGAGTATCGATACGCGCCGCGCTATCGCAACATATCATGGAGACAGTACGCCTTTTGATAAAAGTCCTAATGCTGTTCAGCTGGTGCGCGAAGGGATTCGTCGGGAACGCTCTCGGTAAGTTGGCCCTGCCGCCTTCGTCGCCTCGTTATCAACCCTTTGGTACGCGTGGGTGACATTTATTTTACAATATGTATTTTTATATGCTGGATTCGCGGATCTCATGTGATGTCTTTTGTTGGCACAAAAGCACATTTTCTCTCTTTTTAATTAGAATTTTCGTTAGAATTTTTGAAAACATAATGATTTGTATTCATTATTTAATTATTAAAAGTTGACTGTAATGGATTGAATAAGATAATTTTATTATTATATTAATAATTATATTATTAATAATGGCGACAAAGAAAGCAATCCTATAAGTAAAAATATTAATAATAAGTGCATTTTTTATCGTTATTCGTTCAAACATATAATTGTGTTTATTTTATGTAGACTATATTTAGATTAGTAATAAATTAGCCAAATAATTCAGCTTTTTATTAAATATTTAATAAATTATTAATATATAAAGAATATGTATAAATTATACATATATAATTCAACTCTGTATTCAATATTCAAGATGTAACGGTAATCATAATTTTAGAAAAATGTATTCTTCCACTCGGTATGGAAGAAGGAAAAATCCCGGATGAAGCGATCACCGCGTCGTCCAGTTATGAGATGAAATCCGTCGGTCCCCAAAACGCGAGGTACAGAGATTAACACGAAAATATGTACATATTATACAATCATTATAATATGTATAGCCATTAATATATGAATATTCATAGAATACGACAGGAAAAGAACGGTGGTGCTTGGTGTCCGAAGGCACAAATCAGTAGCGCTATACGCGAATACCTGGAAATCGATCTGACGAGAGACCATCTTATCACATGGACCGAGACTCAGGGGAGATTCGGTAACGGTCAAGGTCAGGAATATGCCGAGGCATTTTTTCTGGAATATTGGCGGCACGAAAAGTGGCATCAGTACAAAGATTTAAGAGGGAACAAGGTATACATATCCTCGGTTATTAATAAAGATTAATGCAAAACTATGGTTGATATTTTATTTACAAAATTGCAATATAGAATGCAATTAAATTTAACTAAATCTTTAATAGCTTGGAATTAAAGATTTCGTAAAAAATCACTCTTAAGACTTTTTAGAAAGATTAATTGAATTTTTTTAACTTTAAGAAGCGATAATTTTTTAATTAAAATTAATTTCTTGTCACACTCGTAAAAAAATTTTTTTCTAAAATTTTCGGGACAGAATTGTTAGGACAGAAAATTTAATATTAATTTAATATTTTATTGACGTTATACTTACATTACAGGTCCTACGTGGCAATAGCAATACATATCTAGTCGAGAAACAGAAGTTAGATCTGCCATTCGTCGCGAGTCGAGTGAGATTTGTTCCTTACAGTCAGCATCCTCGCACCGTATGCATGCGCGTCGAGATTTACGGCTGTATCTGGAATCGTGAGTTTTGTTCATGTGCTATTTAATTTTACGTTTATTACATTTTGCATATAATAAATCATCTTTTTTTTGTGAAAATGTATAATTAGCATTAAAAAATTTAAAAGTATTAAAAATTATACGTAAAGAAATATATGAATTTCAAACAATTGCTGCGTTCCGATATTCACTGCCAGTGCTAAAAATCGATAGTGCACGTAACGTATATTTTAGATTTTCAGTACTTGCAGTGAATATCGGAACGCAGCCAATGAATTTGAAACAATGGATTGTGAAATATAAATTCAATATAATGAAAGCACCCTTCATTATTTATGCAGAAGGCATTGCTAGTTATACCGCGCCTAAAGCTGATACAGACGGGCCTAACGGGTGTAATGTCGAGGATACGTCATACGACGGCACGGAAATCGAGAATTTGATGTTGAACGGATTGGGGCAACTAACCGACGGCATAATCGGCAGCGAAACGGAAATCCTGGAATCTGACAGGGTGTCCAATTGGGTCGGCTGGCACAATCGAGATAACGTAGAATTATTCTTTGAATTTCAACTTGCACGGAAATTCAGGAATTGTACGATTCATGTTGCCAATCTGCCTGATCTAAGTGTTGAGGTGCGCGTGTGTTGTTCGAAATAAATTCTTCAAATATATAGTAACAAGCCTATTCTAAATTAAGAAATTTTTAGATGTTCTCGGCAGTAAACTTTTGGTTTTCGTCGGACGGCAAGGAGTATCACGAAACACCGGAAACGTTTCAAATGTTTAACGACCCTAAAGTGAACATCATTCCTGGCGGTAGCAATGAAAAGGGTGGCAGAAGTAGAAATAGCGCCCTGATATCTATTCCATTGCAATCGAGAGTCGGCAAATTTATTAAGGTGGATATAAAGCCTCAGTCAAAATGGTTGTTGCTAAGCGAAATCACATTTGAGACAGGTATAACTGAAAGTCTGATTTCATTGATATTAATTTCCTTATCACATCTATAATCAAGATTATTAATTTTGTAATTCAGTTCCAGATGTAAAAAACAGCACTGACGGAGCACTGGCGCATTTGTCGTGGATATACACGAACAGCAACGAGAACATATCCCAAATGACCAATCAGGATCAGATTGCGAGAATGAAACAGATAGAGGATAAAGAGATTGGCGATGTGGAAGTTCAAACTGACAACAAGATCAGAGGCGACGCCGGCGATGAGAGGAAGATCGATATTCAACACGGTGGTACAATGACGGGAAAACCGAAAACTGACTCGAACGAGACAACGTTGGTGCTGAACGAGTCGAATTTGACGCCGGATGCCTTTCCCGTGAACAATTCGCCAGCGTATATCGGGCTAATTAGCGCCGCGCTGACTATAATAGTCTTTTTTTCTGGTTGCACGGTCTTCCTGATAAAGCAGAGGGGCCGCAACAAAGTGGCCCTGTTACAAAAGCATACCGCGTTATTATGCGGCTCGCCGGCGCCGGGTATCACGATCAATACGAAGGATATCAAATTACCCACACCGATCGTGGTAAACAATCTGTCGCAATCTCGGCTGTCGTTGAAAAGCAAAATTGCCTCGAATAACGATTACAAATTCGGCGATGGCGACACGAGCGAGCAGCACGGCATTTACGAGAAGATTAATAAAATATCCCCGGAGCCATACGTCAAATGTGAAGCGAGATCCAATTATAAAACGGAACATTTTGGTACGTATATAGAACCGCGTATTAATGACCCGCTAATGGCATTAATAATTGGGTCTAATATCGATTGCAGTGTCCAATCGCGCCAAGCGGTCGAGAAGTTTTATTTTATTTTATACATTAGATATAGAGGCACGAAATCTCTATAATCAGAACGTAACGTAAAATTATCCTAATATAATTATCAGAATGCAATAATTTATTTGATTTTGCTTCTTTGCATTCCGTCTGCACTTGATAATTTACATTTGCTCCAATTTTCCTGCGCCTTTCCTAATTGATTTTAGTTTAGTCATGATTAATTTAATATTCAATAATACGAACGCGCATTAATTAGTAAAATAAACGAAATTATTTATAAATTTGTAATAACAAGCACCATATTAAACTTATTATTATATTTGTTAAATAATGCTCGTGTTCAATCAAACGTCTCGCTTGTGCGTGCTCAAATTTTATATTCTGTCTAACATTCTGTCTATATCATTGACTTCGCGTGCGTTTCTCTAGATACTAAAACCAGCGAAAACTTCACCGACGAGGCGCGAGTGGAATGCGTAATACCAACGATGTCGAAAAAACTGAGTCACTCGCAAACGGGAAAAATTAATCAGAGAGTATACGAGAGTTATTACGCGGCCACGGACATCTTGACGGTAAGAGAAACTCGCAGCGTATACAAATGTGACTGATTTAAATGATTTTGCGATCGTTAATGCAATACTCGATACAGTATTACGGTATGTTGTAGATCAAGAGACGCGATCAGCAACCCGTTGTGAGTCTCTTCACACCGCTGCTCATTCGGGATTCGATCGTGTCGTACAAACGCGGGAATTACGACGTTCCGCGCATCTCTCGGCATCGATTAAGAATCCTCGATAAGCTCGGCGAAGGAAATTTCGGTTTGGTGAGTCGCGTATATTTTCACTTTTTTTTTTTCTAGACATGAATCGCCAAGGCATCCTCTTTCTCAGACGTTTCCTGAATGTCTTTGCTGTTCAATTTTGTGGAGAAATTTTTAACATGCATTCTCATGTTACTCGATTTAGGTTCACCTGTGCGAGGCAAAAGGCATACAAAATCCGGATCTAGGCATCCTCCAAAACCGTCAAGTAGTTATAGTCCGGTCCTTATGGCGCGGCGTGGTTGACGCTTTAAGGTAAAAGCATCGCGTTTTTGTTCAACGAGCTTCTGCAAAGCTCTTGATTTGCATAAAAAAAAAAACTTATCGTTTTAGGGAGGACTTTATGAATGACATGCACATTTTGGCTGAAATACGGGACGTCAATATCGCCAGGATAATCGCGATCGTTGAGGAGGAGCCTTTCAGTGCCATTTTCGAATACGGAGAACTCGGGGATCTGTCGAGTTTTCTAAAAAGTCGCGATCGCGACGCGCCGATAAGGTAAGCCTGGCATGATGACAGTTCGATCGAAGATTTCGTCCATTAATTTTCTCTGTAAACGCTATCACGCGGTATAACAAATTCCGCAGTTACGAGTGCTCGTTGAATCTGGTGACGCAGATCGCTTCGGGTATGAAGTACCTCGAGAGTTTGAACGTACCGCATTGCGATCTAGCAGCCAGGTAACAATACATTTGTTATATACATATTTAGTGATAACATCACGTGCATATGTTCTACACGTGTGTCAAATATATTTCGTAGGAATTGCATCGTTTGTAAAGATCTGCTGATTAAGGTGTCCGATCAGGCCATGTATTGCAGTAAATATGACGGCGAATACTACGTCGACGAGTGCTACGCGAAGATACCATTACGCTGGATGGCATGGGAAGCGGTCCTATCGGTAGTTATTTATCTCGTAATTTTGAGATGTAGATCTTGTAGATTTCAAAGAAAAAAAATTTCTATTCATTTAATTGTCTATTATCTCGTTTAGTCTAATCTTCAGTCACTCAATTTAAATTACTTTATTTTTCAAATAAAATAATATAATCTAAAAGATTGTTTTGAGGAGAGAGAATGAAACATTCCGCGAGAAAGATCGAGACATTTGGTCGGCATTATCTGAAAATTTTGTGATATTTAAATCAAATTGAGAGTAATATTTCTCGCTTACGTTTAGGGAAAACGAAGCTGCCAATCCGACGTTTGGTCGTACGGCGTGACGGTTTGGGAAGTGCTGACGCGCTGCGAGGACGTACCGTACGCCGACCTGACCTCGGAACAGGTGTTGGAGAACTGCGGCCTGTGGTACTCGTTGCAGGACAACGGCGGCAAGAAGAAGTGTCCGCGGGTCCTCGAGCAGCCGGTGTTCTGCACGGACGATCTGTACCGGCTGATGCTGCGATGTTGGTGTAAGCTTGCGGAGGATCGACCCAGTTTCCAGGAGATTTACTGCTACCTCAAGAAGCTGACTCTGGATTAAGTGTGCGCGAATGCGAACGCATCTCTGCCGAAAGAGCATACGAGAAACGCGATCCATGCTCCAGCAGCAACAACAGCAGCAGCAGCAGCAGCAACAGCGGCGACGGCGGCGGCAGCGCGACGTTGCTAGTCTCCGCAGGGAATGACACATTTCCTGACTACCCGTTCGTTCCACTCGGTGGCGATGCGTTTATAGGTGCATCATACATACGTGCATACGTACACGTGTCCCCTATTGTGCATTTGTGTATCTACAGGCGAACTCGTGACCGGCATTTGCAAGGCGATTACGCAAAGCGCCACGTAACTGTTAACAGCAGTATCCACTCTGCCAATTAGTATTACATAAAG